TTACGGCAATAATAAAAGACACTTACGTCAACCCTTAAAGAGTGACCATCTGTTAGTACCGCCACAGGTTTCGCTACATTTTTCTTTGTTATATTGCTATCAAGAAATTTATAGAAAATATGTAAAGAATTTTGATTTTGCACTCCATGTTCTGTAGTTAATATAATTAAATTTGGAATCTTTTCCACGGTTGATTTTGGTACCATTTTGCTGGTTATTCCTTTTCCTGACAAAACTACATAGCAAATAACTACATCCCAAACTCAAGATACAAGTGGGTGAATAGTAATACAATCTCTGTTTTCGCAAATTATTTGATAGAAACTGTCCAGAAAACATCAATCCATGTTTACTCCCGCCAACTCCAAAGTTTACGAACTGTTGAGTTTCATTATGATTAAACATGCGTTTAGTACCAATTATACCGTACCACATTCCTTCTGAAGTTTTTCATACTGTTCTTCATTATACCTGTAACTTTAAGTTCTTCAGGTTATTCATTTAAATGGCTTTCACTCATTTCTCTAATGAAGTTTAAAATAGGGCTCATAAACCTCTAAACTTAGCTCCTTGAGTTAGACAGGGGTGTTTTGCCATTAGTTTTACTAGAAAGAACGCAATATTTTATTGGTGAGTAATGCTTTTTCTGCGTTAGGTGAAAGCTTGCAGTATAAACGATGTTTTTCAGGTTTTTATTAGCATGCATACAATACTCTTCTATATATAAAATGACTGTGGACAGGTCTTTTTCTGTAATACCTTGTAGATATCTGTTTATATTTTTTGCATACAATACTAATGCTTTTTCCTCATCCTTTGTCAAAATTGAAAGAACTTTCAATTTTTTATTTACTAATTATTGCACCATCTAAAATGTGAGTTATAAATAGTTCTATGATCAAAATTAAAAACCGCCTTGTTTAACAGATTTTAGCCTCGACAGTCGTTTTTTTTTTTACAATAATCCATAGCATTTGCTAAAATGTTTTCAATTAATTTAATTTCGTCTCTATAAGAAACTGCTTGACATTTTGTTTTAGGTCTTAACCTATTTAACCTATATTTGAACTTTGGTTTCATTTTAATATACTTTACCTTAAAAAACAAAATTAAAAAGTATTATAAATATTTTAAAACAACTATTTAGTTCTTTA